AGAGGGGGCTTTCCACGGCGCGGACCCCCGGGGCGGTGGGTGCCTTTGAAAGAGGGCGCCAGGGGACTCCGGCCCCTCCTGGGGCTTGGCGCCATGGCCTTGCCCTCTGTCCACAAGTGCCTCAACGTGAGTGGGGCCCGCGGGATAACCTCCCTCCCTCCTTCCCATCCGCACAGGGCACGGCGCGGCCCTCGGCAGCCCCGCGGAAGAACCCCTCCGCCCTGGCCTGGAGAGAGCGCCGGGTTTGCCTTTACCTGCAGGGGCAGCGCTCACGCTGATCGCGGCTTGCGGTTGCTCGTTGCTGGTCTTGCTGCTGTTGAGCGAGTACCGGTCTACAGCACGGATTTTACTGGGTACCCCGTAGGTTAGGGTGGCATTCGGGTCGTCGCTGAAGTGATAGGCGTGATTGCACGGTGCTGGGCGAGGTTCTGCCGCTGTGGCTGCGAGAAATTTGGCTAATGTGGCTGTAGTTCAGTCTGTCTGCTTTGGTGAGGTTAAAGTGAAAATAGACACCAGCTTAGTCACAGAGCTGGTGTTTAGAACTGGAAACTTGTATGTTTTGTCCCTTTGTGATTTACTTTTCTTGAAAAATAAAAAAATCAGTTTGCCTTGTCGTTCACCAATGAATTACCAAGTTACGTTATAAGCCTTTAATATATGCATTAAAGAAGTTGTGTTTTAGTCAAAACTTCATGAAGTTTGAAGCCAATTATTTTCCCTGCCATTTTCCTTTATAGATACATGATATAGTTCAAGATAAATGTCATAAAACTTTGGGGAGAGAATTTTAATCTGAAATGCTTTCAGCTTGATTAATACTTGATCTGCAAATGTGGCTTGATTTTTAATTCTCTTCCTTTTCAGCTCAGTGATGAAAATGAACAGTTAGTCAAGAAGCTGAAAAAACTACACATAAAAAATAAGGAGCTAGAAAAGAATCTGGATCAGATTCAAGAAAAACTGCATCTGCAGCAGTTAATGCATGACTATGTGACAAGCAGAGAGTAAGAATTATCAGTCATTTCAATTTGTGTCAAAAGAAGTGCAACGTTCCAGGACTTTTACCCTGATATTCTTCAGATGAAGATGATGTTGGGGGGCTGTCTGTGGACAGGATGGTGGAGATGGACGATGCCGGAGGCATGTAAAGGAGCAAAGGATAGCTGGGGCATCTTGTACAAAATTTGATATTATAGTGAAAGAAACAGTTTTAGTATGAATAAATAATACCCCTGCTTAACCAACAGGCCATCTCTGCCTAACTTCAAAGAGGTTTTGACTATTTTTCCACCAAACAGTAGTAAGATAGTTAAATTGCGTCAATGCTGTGTAAAAGATTCGGAAACCGGGACCTTAGGACCTGAAAAACTATAGTGCTAGTGTTTTGGAGAGTGTCCTGCCAGGATTTACATACCTGTGTGCAAAGATTTTCAAGTTTAAATTTTGGTGTTTAGATTTGTGGTCCTGCATGGAAACTTCCATTTTAAAATCAATCTGAAAAGTAGCTTAGGTTTTTGTTTAGTTGCTTTGTTTTATCCAATTAAAATTGTAAAATTAATTTTATTAAGCTGTTGTGTTTGTTTCAATTAAGTGTTCAAGTTCAAACAGAAACCCATTCATGGCATAATGGTGGATACAGCAAGGATCCTATTCTAGAGGGTGACAGTGTCAGGTGAGTTCTTGGAAACTGCTTCTTCACCGAATTTAATATTCTCTGTAGGGTAGAATTCATTCATGGTTAAGTCAGTTGAATTTTTGTTAACTGTTACGGAAGCAGCTTTCAGCCTTTGAAACAATGGAAAATAATTATATTTTAAAAGGAAATGTTAAATCTTAGATTAAACTTGAAAATGGCACTAAACAACAAAAATAGAATGAGCCAAGGAAGTTCCTTCATGCACGTGTCCATACACGTGATCTTTTTTGTAGATTTTTAACCTAGAATTATGTAATTTCATTTTCCCTTTCGTGAGAGCTTTCTTAGCTCATTTTTATAGCTCGGTTTTATGTTCATATAACACTTATAGGCTGGCACTGTTTTCAAAATAAGCCAGGCAAGTCATTCTACTTTTCAGTCTAACTGATTTTAGAAGTGAGCCACCACTTATTATAGTTTGCCAATTTATGCTAAAATAAACTCTTGTAACTGCTTTTTTGATGCCAAAGGTACACTTTTGCTTTAAGAATATATATATATATATATATACTGAAACATTTTAACAAATAGGCACACTAAATAAAATGCTGGTCCATCCGTCTATGACTTGATTTGAAAATAAATCTGGTGCTCCATTCTTTCATAGGCTACTTTTTGTCCGTGTACAGAAATGGGCAGTGGATCTTATGAAGGCAGAGGCAGTCCCTACTGCTTTTGGTTCAAGCAGCCTATTTTTTGTGTTTCATTTAGGTGGTTGTAGAAGGTCTGGTTTTTCTTAATTTTTTTTTTTAAATACCTTTACAGTGTACCAGGCTGTCTTTGCAAACTACGTAGAAAGACTGGATGTCGAGCTCTGGGCTTGAACTGTACCAAATCAGATGCTTATGTATGAGAAGTCTGAGTTACTCTTTGAATCTAGTGCTGGACTTCTGTTACGTTGCATGTAGATAACCTGACTTGGCCTTTTTTTTTTTTTTTCCTAGCATCTATATGTATGCTATTTTACAAAGCTGTTCTGTGCTATAGAATTGCTCATCCTGCTTGTGGTGTGCAGTCCTGAATTAGTATGAATGCCAGCTCTTATTTGAATTCTTAATAAAATAGGAAAAATCAGGTTCATCAGTTACATTATGGGCCTGATATAGGTAGACTGGATGCTATGAAATATGGTAGGAAATGAGTGTATCAGAACTCGATGCAAGATAATATCAAAGGGAAATACAATATCCCAAATCTCTTTGTTTTACACTGATTTTACCCATTCACACTCATTTTCTTATCGATTTCATCCATTCCTCCTCACACCCATGCACTCAGAAGCAATGAGATGTTTTGTGCAACACAGAACTGGGGACGCTGCCTCATGAGTCCTCATCGTGGGTTCTTGTTTGGTAGCAAGAAACTAGTTTATGGCCAAACATTTTCATATATTTTAGAAGTGGTCTTTTGCCATTTCTGTTGTGCTAACAGGGAGAGAAACTACGTGTGTGATGGGCTGCAAGGTCGTTGCCACCTTCTTGTTGCTATATGTCTTCTATCGATGAGTTATTTGTACTGAGGTTTAATCAGAGTGTGGCTACGTGGGCTGGAGAAAAACAACAGAGTCCTCAGCCTGGCTGAGTGAAAGGGATCCTTTGCCACTGATACAGACCTTTCTTTTAACTCTCGCTTTGCTGTTTTTTTCTGGTGCTTTCTCTTTCTGTGCTGCTGTTCACACGTCATTTTGAATATCTGTTACAAATCTCTACAGCTGCAGTCCAGGTGATCACTATGAGGCGTCTGCAATGCCTTTTTCATAAAGGATGCACGCTCTGTTGGCTTCCATATTTTATTGCGATTTATGCCTTTTTTCTGTTTTAGACTACTTCAGATGTATAATGAGCTACAGAAGCGTTATGTTAAAGAAATCAAAAGAAACCAGGAGCAAAGTGAAACAATTAAAAACCTCACTGTAAGTAGAATTTTTAGGAGATGGTATCAAATAGCCAAACATAAGCTTTTAGAGAGACTGAAAAGTAATTCTTAAATTCGTGAAATGAGACCATGTTCTTTTTCTACTGTTTTTTGTTTCCCGTGCCATTGAGAAAATGGAAACTAGTCTGTAGTCCCCTTTGAAAGTGAACTCTGTTGCTGATATTTCTATAAATGAAAGCTATCTCCCTTTGCCTTTTTTTTTCTTGACTCACCTGCCTACCCCTCCTTCCAACTGTATATGCATCTTCCAACTTCTCTTGCACCAGCTCTGATATTTTTCTGTATGTGCCATGAGCTGATTTGTTTCAGAAATCCAGCAGTAAGCTAACCAAACAACGTCAAATCATCTTCTGTCAGGTAGCGAGGTCTGTTGGCTTGCTGTGCAAAGAGACCGGCATCATAACTGGAGCAAAGGTGGGATTGTGTGGCCAGGAGTGGTTCAAGAAGCTTCAAATGAATATGCTTTCTTTAGGCACTGATCAAGCATTACAGCTGACCAGTCTAATAAATTTCCTCCTAGGGGTCTGGAACATGTGCTTTTTTTGTTTGTAAATTAATATTAATTATGATTTGGATTGTATGTACTTTTTCTTAGAAGTTGGCAGTTGTTGCCATAAAAGTATGCTTTATTGCGCAGAAGGGTTTAGTATTTTTGTGCATGTACATCTCTACTGTCTTGTGAGCATGTGCTCAGTAACAGGCTTTTTAAAACCACTTCTGATGTATGCAAAACTTCACTTGCTATATTTTTTTTTCTCCTTTCAGAGCCTTTGGATGAATGTAGTTTTAAATCAGCAGTTGAAAGCTATAGGTTTGCATTCAGGATATGTATCCAGCTGTATTCAGTTGAACTGTATTTGTTCTATGCATTTTAAAAAAATTCAGTTTCTTGACAGATTAAAATTCATGAGCTAGAGCATAATCTTCGAGAGCAGAGGCAAAGAATTGAGCAATTGGAATGTAAAAAGGTTTCTTGGAAAACTAGTGCTGTTTCTGGAAAAAGAAGTCGAACCACAGAGGGAGAAGTAACATCTCACAGGGACTTCTCTAAAAAGAAGGAATGCTGTTGCAGTGAACATTTAGGTAATGGCATGGTTAATTCTGATGATCCTTTCAGTATGTCCGTCAGAGAATGCATTTAATTTCTGGTCCAGAGGCACACTCCAGGTTATTTAATCTACTTCAACCAGCAGTATCTAAAATGTTTTTTGTTTTTGAAAACCTGTTATGTAAAAATGGCATCTCATAATTAACGTCCTTTCTGTGGATCCAAGCCTGCATTTGTTTGTGATAAAAATAAGTGTTTGCTGCTTTTCTCTTTTTCTGAAATTGGAATGTTGGTGTAATCGTGGGTGGGAGTGCGGAGCTGTATTTAGTATGATTTGTTATTTATTCCAGTAAGCTGTATCTATGCAGAGCTCTTCATGGTAGTGTTTACTGCTCCATTCTTTGGTTTTCAGACACTGATACACAAAAGAAACTGTTTTTAGCCTTAAAATGTGAGGAAAACCCAGACAATACTGATTTGAGCATGTTCTTCCTTATAAGTAAATCCACAAGTTAAGGTGCAATCCTGTTCCACCTCAAAGCATAAAAAAGAGATTGCAGAGATCGTATAATGTAGGCATAATTTTCCGGAAATGGGCTGTCAGCAAGGGCTAATATGACCCTCTTGTAAGTCAGAAAAAGGCAGTGGAGGCACGTGATGCATGTTTTGTGGATTTTAAAGTGAAATAATTCCACATTCTAAGAAGCTGGTGGATTCAGATTATCCAGTTGGCACATCCTGTTGTCTTGTGTAGTACCTGGGAGTGTGCTGGGCTGGTTCTTAAGAATAAATCACTTTGTGAAAAAGGTCCTTTAAAAAGCTGAACTGTAATTTTCTAATATCACAAAACGTAGGCAGCTTTTTAGCTGTAATATGATTCATATGAGGGGGAGGTTGACTGTAACGGTTGAAGTCTATATTTTTTATTTGAATGTAGAGCTATTGTTGAAGGAGATTAAAAGGCTGAAGAAAGAAAATGAAAAGTTGTCTACAGAAAGGAGAGCACTAAAAAATGAATTAGCTGGATTAGACAAGGTAATTTATTTTAGGACAAGTTTAAGAATAGGTGATTTTTAAAAAACTCTCTCTTTTGCCTGAACTGAAACTCATCTTTAGACTGAACATACGCTGTTATCAAGCAAAATACATAAAACTCCCCCATTTATAGTGTTATGAGAAAGAAATGGTAATTAATGACTTCTCGAAACATTAATGTCCTACAGTACTACTTGGCTAAGGAAGAGGCATAATGCAACTTAAACTTTTTATTTGTTTTGTTTTAAACAGTTGTGGATTTTCTTGTGGATGTTTGGGCAATTCATGAGAGATTATTTGCCTCAGGTTGTTATGACATTAACATTGTAACTGTTGGTAACAGTCTTAATTCCTTCCAACAGACGTTTGCAGAGATAATAAATGTATTTTTTTGAATGGTCACGTCTATTGCTTAATGATGTCAGTGAGAGGAAAGCTACTTTCTCTTGAACTTGAACATACCAAAGTTATTCCTGGCAGAACTCTAAGCTTAGGGAAAGCTTTGAAGATTTTTGTTATAGATGTAGAAAGTGCAAAAATGTGCTAATTCTCGAAATTATGTGAGAAGATGAGGCGATCTTATCTAGCTGTACAGAATTCAGTTTAACGTACCGACTTAAGATTTAATTTTCAGCAAAAAACTTGTTTGAATTGGTTTGTGCTTATTTTTCAAGACTTGTGATGGATTTTTTGGGTTTTTTTGAGGCTTCTTTCTTGTAATCCCCTCTCACAAGCTAAATAATATTATTTAGCTTTCATGACAGGGTTAACAGTAAAACATGGTGGCAGTTCATTAGGTGTGAAACTTGTAGAACATTGAGCCGGAGTGAGTTCTGCGTCTCTGTATTTGGGAGTTGGAGATGACTTGTGGCTGGAAGTTTAATTCTTCAGAAGAGAAATATCTAAATGTGACATGGCTTTTTGTCACTGACCCTTTTTTGTATGGTTTTAAGTCACTGTGTATTATTTAAGACATACGTAGCTGTTCACTGAAAAAAAAGCCACAAGAATGAGCAGGAGAAGATTTCAAATATAGATGGATATAAGTAGATACTGTGTTACTCTGGTAGATAGGATTTTCCAAGGTTGGTGAAATTAAGCGTTGGGCGACACTCTGCTTGCTGTCCTTGTATTTCCCAGCAACTTCTGACTTAAGAAGGATCAGAATTGCTCAATAGACTTGAGTTAAAAATCAAACGTTTTAACATAGTGTAGTCGCAAATAATAGATCCTATTCTGAAATAGAACATTCATGATCAAAGTGTAATTGTACTTAAAGTTCAAAGGGGATACTAGCAACTTACAAAGCAGTTAAGGTCTGAAAATATTTTATCACTTTCTAGGTCTAAATATGGTATCCATTTTTCCATCTAAAACTCTTTGGTATTGCCTTCAGATGCTATCATCTTCGTTCTTAGTTTGCTCTCCTTATCTCTCCTTGCTTGTTGTCCTTTTTTATCTTCTCGCAACTTTTAGATCTTCAAAGTCAATGAGGTGTTATCTATCTATCTGCTACGGGCTGACTTCAGCACATATAGCTGCATTTTCGCACTGATGAGTTTGATATTCTCTTGTCATTCTGGACTGCCATTTTGTAGCTTTCTGATAAATCAACAATTTTTCCCTTCTCCTAATTAGTCTTTCCTATTATTAGTTTGTATTTCAGGCTCTAATATAATTTGAATTCTGCTTGCATTGTGTGTTCAGGGCAAAATTTTAAGTTGTTACATAAAGTTATAGTTGATTGCTGTATCTTGCTGTAGCTGTGTTTGCATAACTTGGCCAAATATTAATAAAAATATAGGAAGTGTCTTTGAACTTGGGAACAACTGAAATGCTGACTGGCTCCTATTGAGAATGTCTCTGAAAGAAACTTTAAGGTGAATATTTTTGCATTTTTTCTAGGACTTTTTTGAAGAGGTGGAAGATCTAAAGCATGCTGTACAGGAATCTGTGAAACTGAATAATCAGTATGAAAAGTGCTTGAAACAAATAAGTGTAATGTATGGACTTCCTTTTACAGCACATTTGTAACTACTGATTAATTTAATGGCAAGCAGATTTTCCATGTAATTTTTTTATACTTACTGCGGCATTTAAACCTACCATGGCTGACGTAGTACTGCATTTTGATAATAATATAGATTCAAGAATATGATCTCTATATGATAAGCTGCTCTGAAATGCTTTTGTATTTTGCGCCTTTGATATTTTTTTAAATATGATTTTTAAATAAACTGTGGTCTGTGTAACTTAAACTGAGTTTCAAAAGCTCTCTTTTTCACACTTGCAAAATACATTCATTGCAGGAGTGGTTGTTGGTGCTTATGGGAAAATGATAAAGTCTTTGTATTTTAATTTGAGGAATTCTCAATTTATCCTTTTCTGTAAACTATATAAAATCAAAGTGGATCTGTAGATTTGGCAGTCTTTAGGAATTTAAGCCCTAAGGATGTGCCAATGCAGACAGAAATGAATTATATCATTAAATTATTACATAAATGAATTATTAAATTATTAAATTATTTATATCATTAAATTATTATAGAAATGAATGATACCATTAAATTATTACAAAGAGATTTCTTAAAATAAAAATGCTAATTCCCTGCTTGAAGTTTTTCTTTAATCATAAGTTAAAATGTGTGGATGAAGGAAGGATTTAGGATTTAGAATTGGAAAGAATGTTCAGAAAGAGTTGAATGCTCACATTAGAGTTGACTTGCAGTATCAAAACACGAATTCATCAGAAGCCTTTATTTGATTGAAGAGTGAGGTGTTTGAAGTGCAGAGTCACAGTTCACAAGGTAGAAATGTCACATAGCTTCAGGGAGAGCAAGCTTGGAATGCTAAAGAGACAACTCTCAGTTGCAAGTGTACCTTGCAGAAGTGAAAACTTGTGAGGTTTGCACCTGATCTTGTCTGTAACTACATTTCACAAAAATTTAACATAGTCACATTACAGAACCCTGTTTAACTGAAAGTTGTAAATCTGTATCTTTGTGACATTGTATCTGAGAGCCGACTGAACACTTACACAAGGTTAGACATACTAAGCTTGCTTATAACCTAATACAGCTTCTTTAGCTTAATAAAAATACTTGCACGCTCATTAGGGATAGGACTAGGACTCTTATATCCCACTTTGTTAGGATAGTTTTATGTAGCTGTAAATTAATAAACAAATTGACCTCAAAGCATGTGAGGGCTTCAGAGTTACATATTCACTAAGAGGGATGGTAAAGCTCCAGAGCTGCTTGGTTCCTGATCTGGCTATAGATCGTTGTATCAGGTTTCTCTTGTTTCGTTCTTGGCTCACTTGTAAATTAAAGCTGGATAATGTTCTGAACAGGGATGGAAAAAGGGAAAG